CCCCCGCGTGACGCGCCACGCCGCCCGCAGCCGCCCCCCCCCCTCTCGTTGGCCGCCGGGGGCAACCAGCGGTGCCGCGCCCGCGCCTTAGCGGCCCGGCGGTGCAGGGAGGAAGCCCCTCTCACCTCAGTTGATGCCGGGAACGCCGGGGGTGTCTTCTACATCCCGTTTCAACTTTTCAGGTGTTCGGCCAGCCAGAACGGGAACAAAAACAGCAGTCCAACAAAGAAGAGAGCGGCCGTGCAAAACGGAACCGAGCCGACAACTTCACGAGCGAACGTCCCAGAACTAAGAGAACTGATTCCAAAGTCGGCAAGTACATGGCGATCGTGAAAACAGTAGGGATAACAAAAAAACGTCCTCAGCGTTGTTAACATCATCTAAGACCACCACCTCTTATCGCTGCGAAATCGCGACGGGACCTTGAGATCCTGGCGCCGCAATTTTTCCTATTTTTTTCCGCGCCGAGCGTTTTCGCCCTCCTTGTCGGGCCCTGGGACCTTCACACATCGATCCGGCTCGAGAAATACTACAGAAAAGGTGACTTAGGGCTTTTTTCTGGTCGTCATTTTCGGGCCGGACGAAAGGGGGGGATTGGGAAAGGGGGGGTTACGAAATCTGCTGCATGCAGCTGGTTTCGGCCCCACCGAGGGGCCCCTTCCTCGATACATAGCCGCCTCCGGCGCCGGGAGGCGCCGGGAAAATCAGCTCCGTGAGCTGATTCTCACCCCCCCCTTTGCTATCCCCCCCTTTCGCCCGGCCCGACATTTGCCCCCGTGCACCAACACACAAGTGTATCCTCCTCTCTGCCCGACGTCGGTGGCTGATTATTTGGGCCCAGGCGCTCGGCCCGTCGGGTTCGGGTCAGTGGCGGGTAGAGCTTCGGGACCGCGCAGCACGTCTCCTCCTTTGCTCACCACCCGCCAAGCCACCCCAACCCAACCCGAAGGCTCCGATACCCTCGATTTCTAGTGGGGGGGGTCCGGGAGCATCGAAAAAAACACATATGGAGCCCATACCCCCCCCAACCCGAACTTCGGGCCTTCGGGTTGGGTTGGGGTGGTCTGGTAGGTAGTCATTTGCTGGGTCGGGCCTGTTGAATCGCCGCACGATCCGGAACCTTCTGCTGAAGCCACCTGGCGTGGTCAGGACCGCGGCCCGCTTGGTGTCCGGTGGTCCACCCTCGGCGTCGCCAGCGCGACCCGCGATCGAGGGACGGCTCGACAGCATGCGCTGCGGGCCCTCTCAGAGGAAGAGAAGGCACGCGCGTTCGCATCGCCGTACTCAGACCAGAGCTTCCTTTTCGCAGATGAGGACGTGCTATTGGACACGCAGGCGCAGCTGTACTTCTACGGCGTGACGAGCCTGGGCAAGCTCTCCGCTCGAATGAACTCAAGCCAGGACGTCTGGGATTTTCGCCAGAGAACAGCTCAACGTCAACGCATTGACAAGGATTGAACAGCGCGTTCATGTCGCCGCTCTGTGGTGCGCACGGCACGTGGCGCGCGAGGATCGAGCAGCAACAGAAGACGGAGGACGAATGCGACGCCCGTCAAGTGAACAAGCCGCTGGTCGTCATCGACCACTAGGAGATGAGGCTGGCCTTCGAGAAGACGTACTGGAAGCTCGAAGATGGCCACGTACCAGCAAGGTCCTACTTCGAGGCCAAGCAGACGGAGATCGAGCGCGGCGGCATCCAGGCAGAGGCGTTCAGAGCGATCAGCCGAGAAAGATGAGGATCCCGACCTCCTGGCGCCAGTCTGGTCCAGCTCAGGGGCGATGCAACTCAGGAAGGTCAAGGTCGACCCCCCGCGGGGCCCTGAGGCGCTGCGAATGCGCACCCGGCTGGTGATCACAGGGATCCTCATGCTCAGCCAGTAGCACTCACATCGGCAGGAGCTGCAAGGCTGCAACCCGCAAGAGTTCCAGTCGTTTTTGGATGACTTGTTCGGGGAGCACGTCGAGAGCCTCGTAGCGATGAGCGCGCAGGGCGACGTGGTCGCGCACCCGCCGTGGGCCCAGGTGCTGCAGCACGAGCAGCACATCCGCAAGAATATTTGGCAGGTGGCGCAGCAACGCTCCAGCGGGCGATCGACGATCCAGCGGTCAAGGGGATCCACTTCACGGAACCGCTGGTTTTCGCCAGCCTTGCAGCACGCCGCCAAACCCAAGCGCCGAAGCAGCCGCGGCCGCCGCAGCAGCGGGCGCTCCACGACAATCCGCCGCGGAATGCACGCAAGGACGGCGCAGGCAAGGGAGGCGGACGCGGCGCCTGCCAAGACGCGCCTAGCCAGGGCTGGCCGCATGAGTGCGCGAACGGCCAGGACCATGCGCCACGCGACACGAAGATCTCTTTCAGGCGCAATTCCAAGGTGGCCATGTGCGATCCGAAGAAATGCCGCTTTCTCCACGTGTGCTCGCTCTGCTTGGCACGAGGCCACCCGCGATGCGAGTGCAAGGGGGCCGCCCGCGGGGCCGATGCGCGGGGGGGGGGTCTCGCTGGAGCCCCCGCGGCGCCGGCGCCGATCCAGGACGCCCCGAAGGGCAGGGGCGGCCGCAGCAAGCGGCGTTGACGCTGGGGCGACGACGGCGACAGCGCAGGGCCAGGGTGGTCGCGCCCCCCGCTGCCGCCGCCAGCAGACACAGGCCTGGCCCAGCGGCCCAGAGGGCGGGCGAGGCGCTCCGCGCTGCCAAGGTAGCCCGCGCCCTCCTCCTCCTCCTCCTCCTCCTCCTCCTCCTCCTCCTCCTCCTCCTCCTCCTCCTCCTCCTCCTCTCCCTCCTTCTCTTCCTCCTCCTAGCCGTTCCTCTCGGGGAGGGTGCCGGAGCTTCGATGGCCAGCTTGGGTGTGGCATTGCCATGAAGAGCCCAGCAGGTCGGTGGCGGCCTTCCTCGGCTACAAGGCCGAGACCAGGCCAGCCACAAAGTTCGCAGCCGCTTGATGGCCACGTCCTCTTTCTCCGCTCTCTCGCGCCCTCCCGTTCTCGCCCTCGCCCTCTTGCCCTGCCATCTCGCGAGCTCCGAAGGCACCCTCCAGCTCGAACTATTGTCTTCAAGATTGCACGTCCTGCGCACGCTTTCCGGCAGCCTTGACCGGCTCTGAGAATGGCTGAGCATCAGCGCGCACGGGCAGGCACCAGAGACAGACCAGCGGAGCCCACTGCCATCAGCTATCGAAGCAACGACCAGGCCCCGCCAGCGCCGAAACACGAGCCACACACCATCAGCAGCAAAGATGGGAGTATCATCTGCGGGAACAACGATTACGTAACGAATCTCATCAGCTACCGTCCTGGCACCGCTGCTTGAAACAAAGGCGGGCAGTGGCAGCACGTGTGTGTGAGAAGGCGCAAACAGGAAATACATCATCAGCTTTAAAAGGCAGGGATCAGCTCTCACGAAACAGCGCGCAGTGGCAGCATCTGGCACTTTGTGCGAGAAGGGCGAGCAGCGGCTGCAGGTTCTGTCGCTGCCCAACGAGCTGCGGAAGACGAAGCTAGAGCCCGGTGTCATCAGCTACAGCGCTGGCGTCGGGGCGTGCAAGAAGGGCGTCGCTGCGCCGAGCGGGGCGAGAGACTCACCTCTGCTGCAGCGCCGGGATCAGCTAACGCGGAAAGGCAGGCAGTAGCAGAGGGCTCAGCTACTGGAAGCGGGGGTTGTGCCAAGCACATCTCAGCTACAGTGCGGGAACTCGCTCGTCCGAGTTTTTCCTGCTCGTGGGACAGGTTCTGAGCTACAGAGCGGAGATTGGTGTGTTCGAGAAGGCAGGCAGTGGCAGCAGGCTGTGTAGCTGCACGCGGTCGTGCGAACACACATCTAGAAGTCAAAATCGTCAGCCACAGCGCTGGAATCAGCTCGCGCGCGACATACCCAAGCGTGCGAGAAAGGCAGGCAGTGGCATCAGGAGTGGAGGAAGGCCGCGAGCCCGACGTCATCAGCTACAGTGCTGGGCCCATCGTAGAAGCCAGCGGAGGGTCATGACAACCGACGCGATCAGCTACAGCGTCGGGGACAGGGCGAGAAAACGGACCGTCAACGAATGAAAAGCTGACCCACTTCAGTCAAAGGGGCTTGTTTGGAGCATGACGTCGTCAGCAACAGCAGCGGCGCCACGGCGTGCGAGAAGGACAGGCGTTGGCACCAGAATTGGGGGACAGACTCGAACTTGAACCAACGTCGTCAGCTACAGTGCTGGGCCCATCGTCGGAGCCAGCGCAGCACCACGGCGGCAGGCGCGATCAGTTGCAGCACTGGGGCGAGCTCGTGCGAAGAAGGAGGCTCAAGAGTGCGCGTCAGACAGGCCTGGGCAGGCAGCGGCAGGCATGTGAGAAAGCAGGCAGTGGCAGCAGGCACTGTGTTGCCAACGGGGGGCTCGTGCGAAAGGGCAAGCAGCGCGACAGCAGCCGCAGCGCTGCGATCAGCTCGTGCGAGAAGGGCACAGGCGTGCATAGCAGGCTTGCGACGCATCACATCTGCAGACGTTCCGCGCCGTGGGGGAGGTTGCCTCAACTCATGCGCGGGGATTGCCCGTGCGAGACGCTGGGTGCTGAGGCACGGGCAAGGCCAGAAGGGCCGGGGCACCTCCCAGCCGCCCCCGCGGAGCGGAAGGCACCCAACCCAAATCGGCCCCTGAAGGGCCGAAGGCTTGGCTGTTTCGACTCTGATGCGGGGCCGGCCCGCGTGGCGAAATTCGGCCGCGAGGTTTTCAGGGCGCCTGCGCTTCCTGGTTACTCGCTGGACCGCGATACTCCCAAGCGATACCCCTTCCCCTCCTCCTCCTCCTCCTCCTCCACCTCCTCCTCCTTCTCCTCCTCCTCCTCCTCCTCCTAGTTGGCGTGAGGGGCTCAGGAGGTCTTCCGACCGAGCCACACTCGCAAACACAATTCCGATTGGTCCAGGGCCCACAGAAAACGTCCCGCGGTCAGGGAGGAAGAGGGTCAGGGGGCGGATCCGTAACCGAACACATCTTCCGCGTACCGTATTAGCCATTCTCCCACTCGCTCATGTCGCTTATTGTGCCGCCGTCTTTCGAAGAATGTGCGACCTACGATTGTAAGGCCGAGCCGAGGGGAGATTTCGCCGGGAAGACATCGACCATGAGGAGGAGGGAGAGAACACGACGAACAGAAACACTCAAGTCGTGAACTTGGGATTTTACGCAGCTTCGCATCTGCACCTCTGCCAGGGCTGCCACAGCACGGGGCGATCGTCGCAGAGTGCGAGGGCGATGGGAAGGGCGAGCCTCTGGTGGATGATGGCCAGATGGGTTTGGCAGCTGAGGGGGCTGGGAAGGGGGGGCACTCGGTTTTACTGATCCAGAGCCGCAAGGCTGTATGGAGGAGAACCCCCTCCCAGCCCCCGGACGGCTTCGCAAACAAGTAGCGTTGTTGAAGGTACGGGCATTCAAGTTGCAGCTGCAGAAATGGAGGCGCAACACAATGAGGACATCAGCACAATACACCCCGATGTTTCAAACAATGCAGGTGGTCAGGCGCTTGGCAAGGATAGTGATAACAGTATGGATACAGACGTGAATTGGCCAACTGAGCTGGAATCCAACATTTGGGAGTTCGCACAAAAAGTACATCGATGAGTATGGGGAACCCGCAGATGTCGACACATCTCAGCTGTTAGTAGAGACTACCAGACGTTGGACACAGTGTGGTATCAGTGTTGCCTTGCAGCTCTTGCTGTTGAAAGGTGAATTCGCGTCCATGGAAGAGAATGGGGCCTGGCTCGTATTCCCGTCCTTTGCAAAGGGGGCCGACGAACCAGAAGCGAGACCAGATATTCTTGACGGGGTATATACTGTTCTGGCCCCGGGAAATGAGCTCAAGTATGGAGCCCCCTTGCGAAAGTAATTGAAGTGTACGGCGCACTCTGGATGTGGGTTTGAATTGCGTTGAGTTGTTGCACATTGAAGCACATTTCGTAACATACACTTTGTTTCACTTATTTGTTGCCCTGCAATTTGAAACATCAAACACCAAGAGAGAAGCTCGACGCCATTTTTTCGCGCGAGCATCTTTCATCGCCTGCAGCTGAGGAGGGGCAGTGGAGGGGGCGGGTCGGCGCTCGTTTGGTTTCATGTCGACAGGCCTTCCCGGGGAAAGGGCAACGCGAGAGCTGACCTCGCCAGCCCCATTCTCCCCCGTTTTTCTCGAGTTCAGGACGAGCGTCTCGCCCCTCGCAGGGGGGGCCACCCTGTCAGCCTGGCCTCGAACGGGGTGGGAGTGAGGGTGCGACCACACATCGCGACCCCGGAGCCTGCCAAGGACGACCCCGTGGGCACACGGCCTCCCCGCCCACGGGGTGGTCCTTGGCAGGCTCCGGGGTCGCGATGCGTGGTCGCGTCGAGGCCCTGCTCCGCGCGTCGCTTCTCGGGGAGGCCAGGAATGGCCCGAGGGGCCGCGGCCGCCGCCGGGACGAAACTCCTGGAGCCAAGAGGAACGAACAACGCCCAGACCCAGCGGTCCGATGCTTCGATTTTTCGAACGCGTGAGAGAGAGAAAGAGAGAGAGAGAGAGATAGAGAGAGAGAAGCTGAAAGGAGAGGGGGGGGGAGGGAGAAAGGGAGGGAGGGGGGGGGCGAGGGAGCGAGGGAGCGAGGGAGGAGAGGAGAGAGAGAGAGAGGCCCCAGGACCGGAGGCGACGATGGGGGCGAACCGCCCAGGGGCGGGCACTACACCTTAGGCGATGCTTAAGAAAACTTGAATGCTCGGCCAGAGCCTCGATTATTCTTAACGCTCTTCCATGTAAGTCCCAATATTTTAATAGAAATTTTGGGTTTTAGTCAGGCTCCGAGGCTATGAGTTTCTTAACCCATGATTTCTTAAGCATATCGCAGGGTGCACGCGCATTCGCCCAGAAGCCTCGCCGAAGGCATGGGCCATCGGCGCCCTCGGACACCTGCACTGTTCTCCCCTGGGTTATTGGCCCCCGTCGTCGCCCGCCGACAAGGGGCCCAGCCCTTTCCCCGCGGCCGATCTCTCACCTCGAGTAGATCGTTGTTCGGCGATCCAGGAGAGCACGGCGAGGGTTCTCGGGGGCAGCAATGGATGGGAAGACCTTCGCATGTTTTTTTCGCTCAAGGCTCTCGATGTTTGGGGGGCGCTTTGGTCCTTTTCCTCCTGCCACCCGAGAGCGCGGCCGCGCCACTTCGGGAGGTTCCACAAGGACCAAGCACATACGAAAGCATGGATCCTCGACCCTGGACCCCAAAGAGCGATGATCGAGGATCCAGGATCGAGGTTGATAGAAGGATCCTATCTTTGGGCCGAGGATCGAGTGGATCCTTCGACCCAAGGGATCCTGTGGGGGGGGTCGAGGCTCCACAAGAATCGGAGGATCGATCTTTGCGGGCCTCCTCCCCAAGAGATCGGAGTTTGGGAGAGGCCCACGCCCTGCCGAGTCGATCCGCGGGTTGCCCTGTTTTTTTTTTTTTTTTTTGTTTTTCCCTGGCGGGCGTCGAGGCGCATGTGTTGCCTCCGCCCGCCAGGCCTGGCCATGTCTGGTGCCAGGCCGTCTTCACGAAAGGGTATCTTACGGAATGATTTTTTTCCGAAGAGGGTGCCTTCCGCAGAGGCTCGATCCTCGATGCTCGCACCCCGATCCCTCCCAAGCTCGACGGCGAGCGAGAGGGGGAAGTGAGAAGCGGCGGACCTTCTGAAAAGGCTCGGAAGTCCCCTGGCCTTTGAGAAATGCTCTAAACCTTCCCCGGAGACACAGAGAATCTTTCGGAAGGCCGGAGGGCTTCTGAGAAACCCCGCCGCTTTCTGAGAAGGCCTTCTCCTTCTCACTTCCCCTCCTGGGCGGGCATCTTGGGGGGTTACCCGTCGGTCGTTGACAGTTCTTCGATTCTTGAGGGGGAGGGTGGGGTTCGCTTCGCTCGGGAGCTCCCGAGCGATGTGAACCCCGCCCTCCCCCAGAAATCGCGGGGGGTAGGGGTAGGGTTCGCATGTGGCCCCCATACTCAAGGTCTGGACCTCCTCCCTGGGACCGGCGTCCGATCTCGGGCAGTTTCCTGGGCGGCCCCGAGGCCCCGGCGAGGGCCCCCAGGCGCGAAACACGGGCGAGAGCCTCCCGTCGGGACGTCTGACGACGGCAGGAGGAGGGGAGGGTACCACCCCCCCCGACGACGAGAGGAGGAGGAGGAGGAGGAGGAGGAGGAGGAGGAGGAGGAGGAGGAGGAGGAGGAGGAGGAGGAGGAGGAGCGGGAGAAGAAGAAGGAGGAGAAGGAGGAGGAGGAGGAGGAGGCGAGGGTGCCTCCCCCCCCTCTGCGTCGGAGCCGAAGCCTCGCCGTCCCGCCGCCGGGTGCGGCTCCAGGGCCCGGTGCCCTGGCATGGTCCACGAGGGGCCGCCCGCGGCGGGCGTGGCGCACATCAACGAGCACGGGCGCGAGCACTTCGCGGGCGCCCGCGGGGCGGTCGGGGGTGGGCGGGGGAGGGCCTCGGCATCGCTCGGACGTGTGGGTTTTTTCCTTCGGCGAGGACCATCGAGGAGCATCCTCGATCATTGGGCAAAAAAAGCCACGCACGAAGCCGAAACAAACACGGGGAATGGACGTCCAAGCGATGGCGAGGGGCGGGGGGGGCGGCTCGGCACCGCTCGGACACGTGCCTCTCTTTTTGTCGGCGAGGGCCGTCGAGGAGCATCCTGGATCGCGTCGCGGAGGAAGCACGCACGAGACCGAAGAATGCACGGGGGATGGACGGCCGAGCGCTGGCAAGGGGGGGAGCCCACTTCTTCTTCTTCTTCTTCTTCTTCGTCTTCTTCTTCTTTTTCTCATCGGGGGAGAATCGCAGCGGGAGGCCTTTCGCAGTCCTCGGCCTCCAGGGGGCGCTCGCCGGGCCTCGGGACCGTCAAGAAATGGCCCTGGATGAAACACCCGTCCTGGGAAGGGGTCCAGACTTGTGGAGGCCGACCGTTGTCACAGAATCACGACGTCGGGTTTCTCGGGAGGGCGGGGGGAGACGGAGAGGCGCGGGGGAGATGAGGAGGAGGACGAGGAGGAGAAGGAGGAGGAGGAGGAGGAAGAGGGGTGCAGGTGGTGGAGGAGGATGAGGAGGAGCAGGAGGAGGAGGAGGAGGAGGAGGAGGACGAGGACGAGGTTCAGAGTAAATCCAGGATGCACCAGCGCTGCTGCACCCGTCCCAAGCCCCCTCCTCATGCGTCCCTGCAAGCTTTCCTCCTCAGTGCAAGAGGTTCCTCTCTGAGAAGCCAGCGCCGTGTGGACCTGCCATTTCGCCTTGCATCCTTCTGTCGCCTACAGCCAACCCGAAGAGCACAGATGAGCGACTTTCCAAGGGTAGCCTTGCATCCTTCCCTGTCGGCCCATCCTTGGCCGCTTTCGCTGGCCGCGCACCGCTCGCAAAGTGTCGACATGGTCTTCCAAGGCCCTTGCATCGTCATCTTGCGGCCTCACGAGCATAGTTGCAGGTCACCCTCCCGTCCCGTCCCAGGTCCCCTCCTCGTGCGCCCCTGCAAGCTATCTTGGTCGCTGCAGGATGTTCCTCTCTGAGAGGCCAGCGCCGCGCGGACCTGCCATTCCGCCCTGCACGCTGCTGGCGCCCAAGCAGGGATGCGACGTATCATGATCACAGTTGCAGCGAGATGTCCAGCGACACCCTCCATCTCGAGAAAGGACCGCCCCGCCCCCATCCGTGTAGCTGTTGCGTACGGCCAGACCAGGGTCTAAGGTCGAGATGGGTTCGGGTAGGTTGCCCTGCCCTAAAGTTTCTCGTGCTTGTTGGATGTGCTTGCGCTTCTTGGGGGAGGGCACCCTCGAGTAATCTTACGGTTTGGGGCGTTCTGGCCAGCGGAGGGTCTCATGCTCTTGACGGATGTTACTCTGTCCTAGGTCTGGCCGTAAGTCTACACATCCCGCGTGCCAAGGTAGTCTATCATACGTGAGTCTATGAATCCTTAGAAGCGGCCGAACACCATCCCAGCAAATCTCCAAACAGGCCCGTAGCCACTTTGCATCAGCCTTCTGTCTCTGGCCATTTGGGCCTGTTCGCGTTGAGGCTTGATTCGCCAGGGCTTTGCCACGCCGCCGCTACGGGCATCGGCGATTCCTTGTCCGGCCCATGCGGTACAATGTCTAACGAAGGGGCTCCAGCAGTTGAGGGCGCATCGACACAGGTCGGACACTGCTAGCACATCTCAATTGGTGACGTAAGCGAGACACCCCTGATATACCCCGTAGAGGCGAAGAGGGTCCAGTGGAAGCAGCCAGTCAAGTCGATTATGCTTCGGATGATGGGTCGAGATCCAGTTCGGGATCCAGTTCCAAAAACGCCTACGCTTCTGGGCGCCCTGCGAGGGGCACTAGCGCGCCACCTGCCAATAGATTACGTGACAAACGCGTGGCCCAGTGCAGGGAGTCGCACAAGCATTACCGCTGCTTGCGAGGGAACTGCTGATCCTGAGGTTTGGGCATCCGTGGCAAAAGCAGTGACAAAAGCCCTCCCCGAAGGGGACGAAAAGTGGTTGGAAAGAGGGCGGTTGGAAAGAGGGCGGTTGGAATCATGGGCGGCCTAACCGAGTCTTAGCAAATCATCCTCTTCTGTGACGTTCCCCTCGCCTCGCCCCAAGACGTATGTATGCGGCTGGAGGGAAGCTCGAAAGGCGAGGATGCCGTCACGGAAGGAGATGGTTTGCTAGCGGTCGGTTAGGCCGCGCCAGATTGACGAGGGCATGCTTTCGACCACCTCGGCCCGAAAGGGCTGGTCTGGTGGAGCTTTTCCCCCCCGACAATCTAAGCGCTGAAATAAGGAACAGACTGGGATTCGGGAGGGGCTCGATGTTCCTTAGGTCCTTCCACGGCTGTTCCTCTAGCCCTTCTCGTGCACGCAGGCGCTTCTGGGACCAAAAGGGGGCTTCGATCCTGATTGATCGTTTCTTGCATCAGCCCGACTGTACAGTTGGCACACCAAATACGAAATCGGCCTGCCAACAGGTGCACTATGATCAGTTCTGATCTCCCGATCTGTCGACGCACTCTTTGTTCCGACGCGCGGCCTTACGTCTTGGAGAGGGCGCCTCGGCAACCAGGGCAAATTCTCTCTCGGACGCAAGGTTCGCCGTGGGGTTTGCCGCGGTGCCGACTTCGTCTACTTGGGCGCGTTCAGAACAAACTGCGCGGCGACATATGGAGCCGCAGAGCCCCGAGGCAGCCTGCGAGAAGACCAGAGCTAACGAAGGATGATTCCCTAGATGTGACATATCGGCATCTCTTATCGTATGGGCCTAACCGCAGTCGGTCTGTCATAGCCCCCCTTTAGCTATGGGCAAATAATCATGTTTCTGGTGGCTAATTGGGGGCTGCTGACATGACGTGCAACAATATTCGGCAAATAAGTTTTCCGCCGCCGCCCCCGTCGCGGAAGAAGAGGAGGAGGAGGAGGGGGAGGAGGAGGAGGAGGGAGGAGGAGGAGGAGAAGGAGGAGGAGGAGGAGGAGGAGGAGGAGGAGGAGAATGAGAAGAAGGGCAGAGCGAACCGGGGGGACGCGCAGAGTCGCAGAGTTCACTGCCCGCCACGAGCGCTTTGGGGGGGGGGGGAGCAGGGGCCCCGGCAGGACTGCAGGCCCCCTGCGGTTGCCGCACGGCTGCCTGGCTGCCCCCGCCGCAGGCTGCCTGGAGTGCCAGTGGACCGAGGACAGGGGCCGCGTGCTGTACGCCCGGAGGGGCTGGAAGCGGGGGGACGTCATCCTCCGAGAGGCCGGCCGCTGCCGGCGGAGCCCTCCTGGGGAGAAGGCGAGTCCTCATCGGCTCGGGGCCGCGCTGCGTTGAGGCCATTTGGCCCGAAGACGGGCGAGTTCCAGGTGCCAGATTCGGGCCGGGCGAAAGGGGGGGATTGGGAAAGGGGGGGTTACGAAATTTGCTGCATGCAGCTGGTTTCGGCCTCACCGAGGGGCCCATTCCTCGATACATGGCCGCCTCCGGCGCCGGGAGGCGCCGGGAAAATCAGCTCCGTGAGCTGATTCTCAATCCCCCCCTTTGCTATCCCCCCCTTCTGCCCGACCCGACAGATGCAAATGGTCCAGGTGCCGCTTAGGGCGGTTAAGGTTCGAGGCGGGAGGGAGGGAGGCCCAGGACTCTCTCCGGATCCGCCGTTCGGGGCGGATCCGGAGCGAGGCGCTGCAGCACGGGCTGCGCCCTCGAGGGCCGCAGGAGCTTGTCACCTCTTCCTCGGCGGGAGGCGGTGGAAGGGCGGCGGAAGCCCGCGGAAGCGCGACGGGGCCGCGGAAGCCAGCCCCAAGAGGCCCCTAAGAGGCCCCAAGAGGCCCCCACGAGGCCCTCAGGAGGCCCCCAAGAGTCCCCCAAGCGGCCCCAGGAGGCCCCCCAAATGCCCCCCCGAGCGCCCCAGGAGTCCCCCAAGCGGCCCCAGGAACCCCCAAAGCGCCACATTGACACCAGGCCCTCGGGCAAACGGCAGACATGAGACCGTATGGGCCGGCGGAATGAGCGAAGCGATTCAATAAACAATGCGTTCCCAAGAGATGGCAACTTTCTTCGGGTTGAGAGATTCTGGAGCGGGCCAGATGGGTACGGAACAAACAGGCCGCCTGCCCCACAGCGGCCGCTGTCGGTTTGGGACAACATGCTTTCTTGGGCATCGTGCCCATTTTTGTCCGTACCCATTTCGGGCGTCCACAGCCGTGGTTTGGGCGATTTCGCGAGTAGGGCGGGAATATCTGTGCTACTTTTCAGGCTCCTCTGGTGCCAATGTTTTCTTTCCTGCTCTGCCTGCGCTGCCTCCGCTATGCATTTGTGCGGAAATATCCCGCCCGACTCTTCCGAAGCGAAATGTTCTAAATTTGTATCGCATTGCTTGGGGTACATCTCCGATACAATTGTAGCAGATCCGGAGTCAAGGGGAAGGCGAGGTTGGAGCTGGCTGTGATGCTGAGGGGGCCCAGCACTGCCTTGTCTCCGGATCCGCCGTACTTCGGTAGATCTTCCAACCTGAAGCTACGTTGGAAATGCACCCCCAGACGGTGCGAAGAGGTGGGGCGGAAGCTTCCGCCTCAGAAAAGTAGGGTGGCTATTTCCGCAGAGGCATGGCGAGAAACACGACGTCACAGCTGGCGGATTCGCAGGCGGGGGGGGAGGGAGGTGGGAGCCGGCGGGAGTGCCGAGGTGGCCCAGCACGGGTTCTGTCCAGCACGCTCGTCGCCGCGCCCCTCCTGCACGTGATGTCACCGCTCCCTGCTCTGCCGCATGGCGAGTCTGGCATGATGGCATTTGTTTGTGGTTCGCCCCCCAGACGTTGCCACCTGACGGGTAGCACGAAGCACGATTTGGTGTCGGCGCCCTGCGTCGCCACTGGGGGGACGTAAATATGTTGATTGCTCCGCCTCCATGCGTTGCCACAGCGAGTAGAGAAGAATACTATGTTCCCCCCTCCCCCCCCCCAGGCTTTGCCATGTGACGCGTGGAGCAGGACCATTTTTTGTTTCTGCCCCCATGCGTTGCGAGGTGACGAGCAGAGTGGAATGGGACCCAACCACTTCCTAACGATTCGTGGGGGGTCGTGCGGATTTCTCCAGTCAGGGATCTGAAGGATTCCGAAACTTCCGGCTGGCCGCTGGGCTCAAGCATGGGGGTAGCGAAATATTATGTGTGTTCCGTTTTTTTTTGCGCTGCTACGTGACCGTCACGTCGTGACGAGTGCAAATTGATAGTATGGCTTCCGCCCGCGAGTTCGGCCACGTGGGGAGCATTTTGGGATCATATCGTTTTCGCGCCACCAGGCGTTGCCGTGTGACGGGTCGAATCGAGTAATTTGTTCTCCGCTTCCCGGCGTTGCCACGTGAACAGGTTCCTAGGACAGTATTGTTTTCGCCCGCCAGGCATTGCCGTGTGACGAGTAGAGTAGGTTGGTATTGCTTCGGGCTGGCAAGGTCCAAGCGGGAGAGGAGCTTTCGCGGGGTGAAGACGGGGGGGAGTGTTGCTTTCCGACTTGCGAGGTCAAAGGGGGGGGGGTAGCTTGCAGGGGTCGTAAGGGGAAAGGGGGGATGCGGGGGGGGGCAGGGGGGCCGAAGGGAGGGGGAAGAGGGGGTAGTTTCCGGAGCTCGAAAAAAAGAGGCGCGGAGGGGGGGGGTCAGGTCGGGGAGATCAATGGGAGGGGGGGGGGGAGTTTGCAGAGGCCGCTGGGAAAAGGGAGGGAGGGGGGGGTGCGGTGCATGCTTTGCGCGATTACAACCGCATCTTAGCTCCAACAGGCAGGAGGGAGGAGTGAGGAGGGGTCGGACCCAGGCGAACCAGTTTGATGACACCTCTGTGGTCGAGTCCGCCGGAAGCGGCCTTGCAGCTCTGAGCTCCGAGCGCGATGTGGTCTGGCCTGTTTCGCCCGAGGCATCTTCGCAGCTCTGAGCTCCGAGGTGCCGCCCCCGGGCCCATCCCTGCCTCCTCCTCCCTCCTCGCGCCTCCCGCCTGCTGCGCCGCTCTCTGCCGCCGCAGCACCCGCCGCGCGCGCCCCCGCCTCCGCCCTCCCCAGACTCATCACCCACCAAACCACCCCAACCCAACCCGAAGGCTCAGATTTACCCTCGATTTCCAGTGGGGGGGGTTCGGGGAACATCGAAAAAACACATGTGGAACCCTTACCCCCCCCAACCCGAAATTCGGGTCTTCGGGTTGGGTTGGGGTGGTCTGGTAGGTAGTCACAGACAGCCGACGTCACGACTCTTGTCTCGAGGCGTATGCCCGCGGACCCGCCCGAGACGCGGGCCCGCGGGTCTCCCGTGGGCGCATGACAAGCGGTGTGGCGCACGACTCGGTGCAGCCTCCCTCCTCCTCCTCCTCCTCCTCCTCCTCCTCCTCCTCCTCCTCCTCCTCTTCCTCCTCCTCCTCCTCCTCCTCCTCCTCCTCCTCCTCCTCCTCCTGTATCCTAGATGTTACAAACACCATGTCCTCCCGCACGGGGTAGACGTGCAAGCGCGGTTGGGAACCATCGTGCGTCCTAAAAACCATGGTTTGGGATGCTGCGCTCCGGCTGCACTTGTTCACACAGCGCTCAGAGAGCCTGAGTTCCTTCACCCTGGGGCTGACGAGCCCGCGAGTGCGCGCACCGACTGGTAGCATCACCCGCGTCCCTGTCGCAGCGATTCTCGCCAAGGTCAGCACTCAACCGATCCCTGCGCTGTATGCCGTTGGGGCCTTTGCCTCCCATCACGCTCTCGCCCTCTCCCTACAGCCCCATCAGTGAGCCGGCCAGCCGTGCCGCGAGGGCTTGTCCGCTCCTTCTCCTGCGCGCGTGTCTTGGGTGTTCGCTTCCTCGGGTGTTCGCCTCGGCGCCCACCGATATCTAGCCACCGCAGAAGCAGGACTTGCCACATGCATATCCGGTGTCTGATCACATCTATCGTCACCAGCGCGTCTGCCGATTCTCCTCCGCGGGCGCCCGGTGGACCGCAGGCACCGCTGCACGTGGTGCAGCAGGAGGAGGGGTGCGCTGCCTATCGGCGCTTGGTGCAGCTGTGCAAAAAGCACGAGGCTGCCGACGGGGGGCTGCGGGCCGTAGCGTGCCGGCCACATCCGCCGACACCAGCGCATCCCATCCCGATCCAAGTCCACCCACCCCATCCCAGCCCATCAAATAAAAAACAGAAAGTCAGAACGAGTGATCAGTGCAATGCTCTCTCATTATTTTGGCCTCTCAGGGGTACTTCGTGGAGGTATGCTGGGCTGTGTTTGAGAACATTGGTGGCAGGACGAGGCCGTCCGCAGGACATGTAGGCGTTCTGGACGCACCTCGGAGGCCTCCTTGGACATACTGTGCTTCGTGGAAGCTGGATAAACATGACGCGGCCAGCCCTGAGCGAGAGCTGGATACACGTGTGGCCAGGTGTCTTTGCGGCACCCGGCCCTTCCGTGGCCGGACGCGCAGTGTTGCCGCATGTGTATCCAGCGCTTGGCCTCCAGATGTTCCTCACGTGGAGCCAGCCGTCTGTGTGTGTGTTCCGGTTTCCTGGCGCTCTGTGGTACCCCTGGTCAAACCCCACCACGCCACACGGCGTGCCGCCTGGGCCCCTCCCCCCATGCAGCCGCTGCGTGGCTGATGTACGCGTGCGTGCTCAAGCACGCGCGAGAGCGTAGACGCTCGCTTCCGCGTACGCGCGCCCACGCGTGTGTGTGTGTGTGTGTGTGTGTATGTGTGCGTGTGCGCGTGTGTGTGTGTGTGTGTGTTTGTGTGTGTGTGTGTGTGTGTTTTGTGCGGCCTTCTCCACTCCGTGTGCAATTCATCAGTGTGTGTTCCCTGCAAGCATTCGCGACGGTGGGACCGCTCTGCCGGTGGAGGAGGATGCGTGTGTGTGCGCGCGTGTGTGTGTGTTTGTGCTTGTGCGTGTGTGTGGCCGCCGTCCCCTCCGTCGCCGCCTCTTGGTCCCCTCGCTCCCGCCTGTGCGGTTCATCCCGCGCTTGCCACCACTGTGACCAGCATGTCGCCAAGCGCGCGCCCGCTGAGGAACAAAAAGTGTGTGCGCGCGCGTGTGTGTGTGTGCGTGTGTGCGCGCGCGTGTGTGCGTGTGTGCTTGTGTGTGGTTGTGTTTGTGTGTGTGTGTGTGTGTTTGTGTTTGTGTGTTGTGTGTATGGGCGTGAGTGCGTGCGTGCGTGCGCGCGGGCGCGCCATCTGACAGGCCATTGCCGAGCCGCCTCGAGCCGCTACCTCTCGGTCGCGACCTCCACCGCTCCAGACCGTCCGCGCGCTTGCCCTCCTCGCGCGCCTGCGACGCTCCGACGCCCTCGCAGCTGCGGCTGGCCCGATGCTCGACGCGTTCTGCATCCCACTCCTCAGCTCTCTTGTGAGACTCTGGCCGGCCTTCCTCACTCTGCCTCTCCTCCTGCTTCTCCACCGTCCCGTGCTGCTCCGCCTCTGTCTGGGCGGAGACGTTGCTGCTCGGGGGTGCGGCGAGGGGCTGTGAGGACAGGGGGCTGCTGGATGTATATGGAGTCTCTCGGCCATCGAGTCCGACAGCGAGCAGGGCGCACCTTCTGCCTGTAGAGCACAAACAAAAAAATGTTTCACCCCCTGCTCTTGGCCACGCGCGGGCACGAACGACTGGCCCTCCCAATCATACCCGATCACATACGTGAGCGACACATTGAGCATACATGGGCCAGTCATAGGGGAACGAAGAATGACATGCCATGAAAATTCGGAGGTCCACGTGGATTTCTCGGATCCGCGCTGGACCCCCCTCCCTAGAGCGCGGAGCGCGCCAGGGGCGTCGCTGGAGGCGCCGCCAGGGGAGTCCAGCGCGGATCCGAGAAGTCCGCGCGGACCTCCGAGTTTTTTTGTTTCCGTCATTCTTCGTTCCCCTTAATTCAGCCCCCCCCTGCTGCAGACCCCCTGCTGCAGACCCCTTGCTTTCCCCCTCCAGTGCTCCCGGAGCGAAGCGCCCCGCCGTCCTCCTCGCCTCCGGGGCGCGGGGCGCACGCGCGCGGCCGAGCGAGCGCGCCGATCCGCAGCGCCGCGGGGCACCACGGGGTAAGGGGCATTGCCCTCGCATCCTCGCGTCGACGACGACGACGACGACGACGACGACGACGCTTGGCCTCCCCCCCCGTCCACGACGACGTCCCCACACCATCCGCGCATGACGATGGGCTCGGGGCGCGTCGCGTGCGCATTGCGCCCTGCAGCCCGCAAGCGGGTCTCTGGCCCACCCGTGCGACGACGACGACCACCCTCTGGCATGCTTTTCCGCTTGTGTGCGACATCTCGGTACGTCTCTACGTTGAAGTCTTGTCTCCGTTCCAACGCGCTGGTCACGACGACGACTGGGCTCGGCTCACGCCTGCTGTCCTTCGCTCCTCATTTACTAGCGCACGCCTCGTACGACATCGGTGCGTCGTTCACTGGACGCGGGCTCTGGCAGCCCACCATGACGCGGGAAACATGTCCATATCCACGGCCTCGCGGGCTGGGCCCCTGGGCCGCGAACCCGTGCGCACGGGGCGTCTTTTTCGCTGGCGCCCGCGCAGGACGTGTCAGTGCGACGGCGCATCCACGCGATCGCGTCACGGAATCCTGACCACAAATGCGCGGATATGGATATGTTCGCCGCTCGTGATACTACCCCCCTGATTTCGGATCCGCCGAACTTTGGGCACTTTCGCAAGCTGGAGGGAAATATCCGTCCTTCTTGTAAAATTCCTTTGATGCTGGTTTCTGCCCTACTTAGGCGTTTTATTGTCCGCCATATGTTTTCGAAATGTCCGCTGTCTTTTCTGAGACGGAAGTTTCCTCTCTATTGTTTCGCATCGTTTGGGGAGCACGTCCGACACATCTGCACGTCGCAGAATCAAGCAACGCACGGCGGATCCGGAGTCAGGGATAGGTACGTTACGTCACAATGTTGGCCGTTCAAGGCATGACATTGGGCGACGAAATTTGTACATATCCCCGGCCTTTGGCCTGGCCCTTCCTGGGCCCAGGAGCTGTGGATACGCCCTCCTGGCCAAGCCAGGAGGGCGTGGCGCATCCACCTCTGCGTGATTCAGGATGGGCTCGGCCGTGGAGCAGCGGATACGTGTAAATTTCGCTGCCCCACTGCCTGCATGCGGGTCTCGGACCCGTCCGCTCTCGCGACGCGACGATGTGTGGCCCTCGGCCATGCCCATTGATGCCCTCCCCCTCCAAGGGCTGCTCCTGGATCGAGGCGGGGGGTCTTGGCTGTGCCTCTCCCCCCTGGGGCAATCAGAATCGCCATGATGGGCCCAAGACCATACGACAGTTAATGGTGTAGGCCTTCTCGCCGAGGCCATCCTGGACGCTTTCACGCCCCGCGACCCCCCAAAAAACCAGGGAGTCTAGGGGAAGGGGGGCGAGGTAAACCTCCCGGAAAGGAAGAGGCTTTTGGAAGAGGAAAAACGATGTCGTTGTTCCTCCTCCTCATCCTCCTTCCTCCTCTTCCTCCTGCCCCTTCTTGCATAGCGCTGTGTTGGATTTCTCAGCATGGCCGTTTGGGCCACCCAGGAGGGGTTCTAATACAGATTACAACACGCAGCCTGTGTTGCAACAGTGGGGCCGATACGCCTCCAGGGGGATTCGTATCATCGGCCCTCGGGGTTTTCTCTGGTCTCCTCCGACTCGCACCCTTGCCGGGACAGTTATTGTCACGGGTAGCTCCGCCTTGGCTCGGTCCGCCCGGGAGGGGGGGGGGAGCAAGATCGGACAGCAGAGGGCAGTAAACATTTGGCGAATCTATGTCGGACCGCTCAATGCAAACAAACATGTTGAAGGACACGCAGTGCGCATGAGCTTTCAGAAGTACATCAAAAATAGGCAGGAATGGCAAGATAGCGACAGAGACAGAAGCATGCAGAAGTGGGTGAAGGGGGACATACATGTTCCGTAAAATCAATAGTAGCGCCGAGCGCTACATTCGCGGGACAGAACAGCGCCATGCGCTCTATAGAAGAGTAGCGCGTCGCGCTGGTCGAGGCAAGCGCACGGGGTAGCATGGCGGGCCAGAGGCAGCTGAGGATGGAAGGCCACCCAGATAAAAGACAGCGCCATGCGCTGCGTGGCGCAGCTGTTCCCTGCGAGCTACGATGCGATAGCGCTGCGTGACGGGACAGCGCCGAACGCTATGAGAACACCTGCCTTTTGGATGCGAGTAGTTGCCTTCAATTGCATGTCTCCTCGGCGCCCGCGCCAGTGAGGCGCCGGCGACAACTACCGCGAATTCGCCTGACACCCCATGCAGCCCACGAGCGTGACGACAGTTACGCACTTCGCAGCCCCCCCTGGGAGCTGCAAGGTCTCGACGTGATCTGCGTGACTACTGACTCCGCCAGGCCCAGTCTGAAGTTCACAAAAGTGGCGACAGTTGCGCGCTTGGCAGCCCCCCAGGGAGCCGCGAGGTCTCGACGGGATCCCCGTGAACCTCCGCCCCGTTGGACTTCCCAGGAGCCCACGACGTTGGCGACAGTTTCACACTTCGCGGCCCCCCCAAAGAGCCGCGAGGTCCCAAGTGGATCTGAGTGTAACCCCACGCCTCTGGACCTCCCAGGAGCTTACGAAAGTGTCGACAGTTTCACACTTCGCAGCCCCTTCAGGGAGCCGCGAGGTCCCAACTGGGTGCCCGTACAACTCCACTTCGCTGGACCTCCCAGGAGCCCACGACGTTGGCGACAGTTCCACCCTTCGCAGCCCCCCGGGGAGCCGCGAGGTCCCAACTGGGTCCCCGTGCAACTCCACTCCGCTGGACCTCCCAGGAGCCCACGACGTTGACGACGGTTTCACACTTCGCAGCCCCCCAGGGAGCGCGAGGTCTCCACAGGGTCCCCGTGCAGCTCTACTCCACGCGACCGCCCAGGAGCCCACCAAAGTGGCGATAGTTTCACACTTCGCAGCCCCCCAGGGAAGCGTGAGGTTTCAACTCAGTCCCCGTGCAACTCCACTCCGCGCGACCTCCCAGGAGCCCACGAAGGTGGCGCCAGTTTCATACGTCGCAGCCACCAGAGGAGCCTCGAGGTCTCAACTGGATGCCCGCCGAACTCCACTCCGCTGGACCTCCGAGGAGCCCGCGGAGGTGGCGGCAGTGTCACACTTCGCGGCCCCCCCGGGGAGCCGCGAGGTCCAAACTGGATCCCCGTACAATTCCACTCTGCTGGACCTCCCAGGAGTCCACGAAAATGGCGGCAGTTGCGCACTTCGCAGCCCCTTCTGGGAGCCGCGAGGTCTCGACGAGACCCCGTGCGACTCCACTCCGCTGGACCTCCCAAAATCCCAAGAGGGTGGCGACAGTTTCAGGCTTCGCAGCCCCCTAAGGAGCCGCGAGGTCTCAACCGGGTCCCCGTACAACTCCAGTCCAATTCCACGCCGCGCGACCTCCCGGGAGTCCACGAAGTTGGCGGCAGTCTCACATTTTGCAGCCCCCCAGGGAGCCGCGAGGTCCCAACTGGATCCCCATAGAAATCCACTCCGTTGGACCTTCCAGGAGTCGACGAAAGTGGGTGGTAGCGACGGGAAGCAGGAGGCAACAGGGGGAGGAAGAACGAGGAGACTTGACCACAGTGCTCTATTCAAAACGAGAGTTCAGCGCAGGAGGGTTTGGAGCCGCGAGGTCTCGACTCGGTCCCCGTCCAACTCCACTCCGCTAGACCTCCCAGGAGCCCACGAGCGTGGTGACAATTTCACACGCCGCAGCCGCCCACGGAGCCTCGAGGCCCCAACTGCATCCCCGTACAACGCCACTCCGCTCGACCTCCCAGGGGCCCACGAAGGTGGCGACAGTTTCGCACTTCGCAGCCCCCCACAGGGAGCCGCGAGGTCTCAACTGGGCCCTCGTACAACTCCCACGAAGGTGGCGGCAATTTTACGCTTCGCAGCCCCCCAGGGAGCCGCGAGGTCTCGACGGGATCCCCGTACAACTCCATCCCGCCGGACCTCCCAAAAGCCCACGAAATTGGCGACAGTTTCACACTTCGCAGCCCCCCAGGGCGCCGTAAGGTCTCAACCGGATCCCCGTACAACAACTCAACTCCGCTGGCCCCCCCATGAGCCCGCGAACGTGGCGACAGTTTTACATCTCGCAGCCCCCCAGGGCGCCGCGAGGTCTCCACCGGGCCCCCGTGCAACTCCACTCCGCGCGATCTCCAAGGAGCCCACGAAAGTGGGCGGTGGAGAGAACACATTCCGAAGAGCAGGGGCACGCGAAGTATGCTCCCGGCAGGAGGCAGGAAGCAGGAGGCAGGAGGCTGGGAGGGGGAGGAGGGAGGAGGGAGGAGGAGTGGAGACCGCAGAGCTCTGTTCAAAACGAGAACCTAGCACAGGAGGGCTGGGAACTACAGAAAGATCTCGCTAGACGGCCTTAACCCCAAGGGCCGGTGGGATTCGTTGGCGCACCCGTGGGGGCTCCATGGTCACCGCGTTTCGCGGTCTGGGTGGGATCAGTTGTCTTTTGCCAGGGGCCCGCGCGAGAGCGCGAAGGTAACCGCGCATCGCGCGGCGCGAAGTGCGCAAAGGCAGGTGACCTGGAGGTAGTATTGGGAAGGCTTTACGGCCGGTGCTGCCGACCCAGACCAGGGACGACGACGACGACGACGACGACGACGACGACGACGACGACGACGACGATGACGACGGCGGCGGCGGCGGCGGCGGCGACGACGACGACGACGACGACGACGACGCTGACGCTCTGGAGCCCTTCTTGGGGCTCTCTTGGGGGCCTCTTGGGCTCGACTGGGCGGTCTCTGGGAGGACTTCTTGGGGAGCTCCGTGGCCACTGGTAGCCGCCCCGGGGCGGATCTGAGGCCTCTTGGAGGCATGTGGGAAAATATGCAGCACCCAGAGGGGAGTGAGGCGGGTGCCTGTGGGAGGGGGGAGGATCTGGGAGGAGGGGTGCGTGGTGGTGGTCCCCTTGTCCACAGGGGTGGGGGGGGAGGGGGTCCCGAGTTCCCGTTGTCCCCCGGTGGACCACCACCGTGTCCTCCTTGTCCACAGGGGGGTCCGAGGTCACGACCCGCGAGAGCCCCCCGCGACACCCCCATCCCCCTGGCAGGGAAGGGATTAGAGGGAAGGGGCCTCCCTTCAAAACAAATACTCTGTGACGTACCCAACCCAGTTGCATCAAGTGACACAAGGAGTTGGCCCAAACTTGCCAGGACAATGGCAGCGCATGCGCCATTATATGTTGTGCAAGCTACATGGGATGCGTTCGCGTGGCACGATTCGCAGGACAACAACATAAGGACGAAGAGCGAGGGCCCAGGCTTGAGGAGGACATTGGGGCGGGAACGAGGGGCAGGAGAAGGACGCGTAGGTGGCCGAACCGTCAGCGTGGCAGCAGCAGAGGGAAGGTGGCAGGGGGCAGAGGACGACGAAAGTGACGGGAGAAGGCCGAAGAGTGTTGCTTCTGTCGGTAGTACGCTACAGGTGCAGCGCTGCCTGCGCCATGTCGCCGCGGCGCTCGAACAAATGATTCAGCCTGCTTATACTTAGTGCCAGAAGCCAGCGAGGCTCAGCTCGCACGCCAGATTCTTTGCTTCCTTCCGGACGACCCCGGAACTCGAAACAACCCACAGGTAACAGAAAAAGGCGTCACCCCGCTGGACCCCAGGGATGGCGAGGTCTCCCGGTGGTCCGCATAAGACGTAATTCCGCTGCACCCCCCAGCAGCCCTCGAAAGCGGCGACACTTTCGCAGATCGCTGCCCCCCAGGGATGGCGAGGTCTCCTGGTGGCCCGCGTAAGACGTCACTTCGCTGCACCCCCCCAGCAACCCTCGAAAGTGGCGACCGTTTCGCAGATCGCTGCCCCCAGGGATGGCGAGGCATCCTGGTGGTCCGCGTAAGACGTCATTCGGGTGCACCCCCCAGCAGCCCTCGAAAGTGGCGGCGGCGGTTTCGCGGATTATGCGCCCCCCCAGCAGCCCTGCAAAGTGGCGACCGTCTCGCAGATCGCATCACGCCAGGAATAGCGAGGTTCCCTGGTGGTCCGCGTAAGACGCTCCCCCGCAGCCCCGTAAAGTGGCGACCGTTTCGCAAATCGCAGCCCCCAGGGATGGCGAGGTCTCCTGGTGGTCCGCGTAAGACGCCACTCCGCTGCACCCCCCAGCAGCCCTCGAAAGTGGCGACGGTTTCGCAGATCGCAGCCGCCCAGGAACGGTGAGGTCGCCTGGTGGTCCGCATAAGACGTCACTTCGCTGCACCCCCCCCCAGCAACCTTCGAAAATGGCGACTGTTTCGCAGATCGCTGCCCCCCATGCATGGCGAGGTCTCCTGGTTGTCCGCGTAAGGCGTGGTCCCGCTACACCTCCCAGCAGCCTCCGGAAGTGGCGACACTTTCGCAGATCGCAGCCCCCCAGGTAATATGTAAAAGGTAGTCGGCAGGAGAGAGGAGGAAGGAGGCGGGAAGGAAGGAAGGTTGTGTGCGACCGCAATGCTCTATTCAAAACGAGTACCCAACGCAGGGGGGGTCGGAATTACAACCTTGTTTGATTTCCGTCTGGCTTGGTCGCTTGAGGAGGATGGCCAAGGGAAGAGAGGGGCGGCGACGGCGACGACTCAAACGGGAAAACGTTTCACACGCGCTGAGAGGGTCGGCGGACTTCCTCCCACGTCGCGAGTGGTTTCAGACCCCTTGGGGACCCCGACCCCTTCCGCGGGTACGATTTTCATTATGAGTCGCTTTTGGCGGTCCCAGGGTCGGGGAGTGGCCGAGAGCGCTGAAGATTCTGCCGCCGCGATTTTGCTCGGGCGCTTTCGCCTGAGAGCAGACCTGCCGGCGCGCAGAGGCGGGTGTTGTGCGACGGGGGCGGGCCTTCGAGAGGGCGGGGGGCGCTTCTTGGGAGGCGGGGGCCTTCTCAGAAACGCCTGGGGCCTTCTCAGGTGCGGAAGAGGGACGTACACGTACATGAAGCCACGCTGGTTTCGAGAGTGCGCATTCCGCGACCGTTCGTGTCACGCGGCCGGTCTCGCGGACTGGGGGGCCGTGCTCATGTACGCGGTTGCGCGCGTACGTGCCTTGGGGGGCTCCCTGTACAAGGCTGGCCTCTCAGAAGCCAGGGCGGCTTCCGAAGGAGCCCCCCCGCCTCCTCAGAAGGCCGCGCAGCTCGCGCCCTCCCCCCGTGCGCGCCGCAGAGTGGCGCGCTCCAGAGAGCCCTTCGCCTTCAAAGGGTCCAGGGAGTCACCATCTGTGCAGCGCACAGTCGGGAGGGGCTAAGAGTTCTGTCATTGCTTTACAGTTTGTCTTGGGTTGTCCTCAGGTTTCCGATGGGAGATCGAAGTTGAACTTGTGGAAAGAAGCGGCCCCGTTCCTTATTTAGGGTTCCTTTTGATAGCGTCTCGACTGCAGAAGAACGAAGCCGGTTTTACCGACATTGGCGCGCAAGCTGCCCGCGCAGGGGCGCGCGAGCGCGCCGTCGTTGCCGATGCAGCGTGCCGCGCTGGCGGCCGCGGAAGCCGCCGCGGAAGGTCGCTACGTCATCTCGCGTAAGGCCCCTTTGTCTGTTCGTTGCCCCTCTCCTCCCCGGCGGACGGCGGGGAGGCGCGGCGGAAGGCGGCGCAGGGAACAGATGCGCCCCCCATAGATGGCAAGGCTTTTGGGGTTCAGGGTCTCTGGAACCGGCCAAGCATCAGGATGGAAAAAACACACACAGACACGATTAATCGTCGATTCCCCAGAAAATACGGGAAAATATGGGAAGTGGGGAGGAGGACAAAAACCCAGGAAATATGGGGAACTATGGGGAATATTCTTATTTGTGTGTATCTATTTGTGTGTCCTGGGGCCCCTCTCAAAGTAGAGGACGACGAGGGCGCTGGCGGGTGGTGGGCAGGGCCCGGGGGGCCCCGGGAGGAGGAGCCCCCGAGGCAGACTTCGACTACGAGCCGCTGTGGTACTGGTGCGCTCTGCAGGCGCTGCCCGCCGTCGCCGCCCGGGGAGGGGGGGTCCCCGGGCGGCGACGGGGGCCTCTCTCAGCATCGATTCTCCGACCCCCATCCCCATCCCCATCCCCTTCGAGACCCCCACCAAATTACCACCCCAGTTGGGAATACACCCCTCGAAACCCGAAGGGGACGGCCTAGATCCCCATCTACGGGGGTAAATCGGCCAGTGGAGATCCCCCCTGGTTTTTTTTGTTGGAGAACGGATGGCAAGGTGGGCGCGAGCACGAAGCGAAGGAGGAGGAGGAGGAGGAGGAGGAGGAGGAGGAGGAGGAGGAGGCGGATGACAAGCACGCGTTGCCGTCTTGTTCGCCCCCCTCCTTCTCACTTGTCTGGCGATGCTCGCAGGCTCATATGGTTGGGCCCTTCGCCGGGATTTTTTGCTCGGTGAGGGCTCCGGCCCAGGGTTCTCCTCCAGTCTGCGGGCCAAAGGCCCTCCACCACTGGAAGGGTGCCGAGCAGCAGGCGCCGGAATCGGACACGCGAAAATACGTGCGTGCGGAGGGGGGGCCTCCAACTCGAGTCTGGGCACGCGTGCGTTCGGCACGCGCTTTCGCGCGCTGCCGGCCACGACGGGGCCCCAGGCGAGGGAACCGACTTGGCCACTGGAGCCTTCACACGTCAGGGTGCACGCGAGGAGGGTGGGGTGGGCGGGGGGCCCCGGCGCGTGCGCGCGGGGCACGTGTTTTCACGTGTCCACGGCCCCCAAAGGGGGAACCCAACCTGGGCGCGGCGGGTGCTTCGCACGTGGAAATACGTGCGCGGCGTGGATGGCCAAGGCACGTGCGCGCGCGGGGCATGTGTTTTCACGTGTCCAACGGCCCCCACAGGGGGACCCAACTTGGGCGCGTCGGAACTTCTGCACGTGGAGGTACGTGCGCGGAGGGGGGGGGTCCCAACATGCCTCTGGCGCGTGCGCGCGGGGCATACGTTTTTACGTGTCCACGGCCCCCGAGGGGGGACCCAATTTGGGGGTGTCGAGTTCTTCACGCGGGACAGTACGTGCGCGGAGGGGGAGACCCAACAGGCGCCTGGCTGCGCGCAGGGCACATGTGTTCACGTGTCCTCGGCCCCCCAGAGGGGCACCCAATGTGGGCGCGTCGGATCCCCTACGCGTGACAATACGTGCGCGGAGGGGGGAGGCCCAACATGCACTTGGCGTGTGCGCGCGCGGGCCCGTGTTTCCACGTGTCCACGGCCTCCAAGAAGGCAATCCAGTTTGGGCGCGTCGGATTCTTTACAGGTGACAATACGTGCGCTGAGGTGGGGGGGAGGCAACATGCGCCTGGCGCGCGCGCGCGGAGCACGCGTTCTCACGTGTCCACGGCTCCCAGGGGGGGGGACCCAACTTGGGCTCGTCAGATTCTCAGCACGTGACCATACGTGCGCGGAGGTGGAGACCCAACATGACATGCACCTGAACCGTGCACGCGGCGTAAGTGTTTTCACGTGTCCACGGCCCCCTGGCAGGAATCCAACCTGGGCGCGTCAGAATCTTCACACGGGAAAATACGTGCGCGGAAGGGATGACCAAGGCACGTGCGAGCGGGGCATGTGTTTTCACGCGTCCACGCCCCCCAAGTGGGCATCCAATTCGGGCGCGTCGGAACTTCTGCACGTGGAGGTACGTGCGCGGAGGGGGGGGGTGTCCCAACATGCGCCTGGCGCTTGCGCGCGGGGCACACGTTTTTACGTGTCCACGGTCTCCAAGGGGGGACCCAATTTGGGGGCGTCGAGTTCTTCACACGCGACGGAGGTGGAGGCCCAACATGACATGCGCCTGGAAATGTGTGCGCGGAGCCCGCGTTTCCACGTGGCCACGGCCCACAGTGGGGGACCCAACTCGGGCTCGTCAGGTTCTCAACACGTGACAATACGGCCCCGCGTATGAGTAAGAAACCTCCCCACGAAAAGCTGGCCCAGCGTTTCTTGACCAGCTTGTTGGAAAGCCGGCTCAGCTTCTTGAGGGGATCTGGTAGCCTCGGATCCTAGAAATGAGCAGTGCACGTTCCTGGCCCCAAGAGCTGGCCCAGCGCTTCCTTAAGAAACGTCTGAAAAAGCTTGCCCAGCTTTCTTACTTGATAGTTTTCGTGATCCTGTTGTTTGACTGTGCGTGCGCGGAGGGGGGGAGACCCCCCACGTGCGCCTGGCGCAAGCGCGCGGAGCACGCGTTCGCACGTGTCCACGAACCCCCAGGGGGGTACCCAACCTGGGCGCGTCTGGCTCTCCACACGACAAACTATGCCTGCGCCAGGGAGGAAACCCAACACGCGCCTGGCGCCGCGTGCGTGCGGGGCCAGTGTTTTCACGTGTCCACGGCTCCCACAGGGGGGCCCAATTCGGACGCGTCGGATTCTCTACACGCGAAACTGCGTGCGCGGAGGGGGGGTCTCAACATGCGCCTGGCGAGTGCGCGCGGGGCACACGTTCTCACGTGTCCACGGCCTCCAAGGGGGGACCCGACTTGGGGGCGGCGAACTCTTCGCATGCGACGGAGGCTGTGCCCCAACACGACACGCGCCTGGAACGTGCGCGCGGAGCACGCGTTTTCACGTGATCTCGGCCCCCCAAAGGGGGACCCGATTTGGGCGCGCCAGATCCGCAATGCGTGGCAATGCGTGCGCGGACTGGGAGGGCAGACCCCACATGCGCCTGGCGCAGGCGCGCGGAACACGCGCTCTCACGCGTCCACGAACCCCAGGGGGGTTACCCAATCTGGGCGCGCCTGATTCTCTACACGAAAAAATACGACAACTATGCATGCGCTAAGGGGGGGGCCCAACATGCGCCGGGCGCGTGCGCGCAGAGCACGCGTGCTCTTGTGTCCACGGCCCCCACGGGGGTGGGGGACCCGATTCGGGCGCGTCAGATTCTCTACACGTGACAATACGTGCGCGGAGGGGGGGGCAACATGCGCGTGGCACATGCGCGCAGAGCACGCGTTCTCTCGTGTCCGGAATCTCTACACGTGGCAATGCGTGCGCGGAGGGCGTGGGGTGGGGGAGGGGGGGGCAACATGCGCCTGGCGCGTGCGCACGGGGTACGCGTTCTCACGTGTGCACGGCCCCCAGGTGGGCACCACACTCGGGCGTAGGAAGGAGGAGGAAGGAGGAATGAGGCATGATGATGAGGAAGGAGCAGGAGGAGCAGGAGGACAAGCAGGACGTGCAGGAGGTGTGGCTGCAGCCAAGCAAAGGGAAAGCGTTGCATGCGTGTCAGAAGAACGTTTGACTAACGTTCCTTACGGGGTTCGTGGATCCCTCAAGTTTTACGTGTGTGTTATTTGTTTGTGCTTTTGTTTATTTGTGAGTGTGTGTGTGTGTGTGTGTGAGAACACTTACTCCTGTCGAGCATAAAAAATGGGTCTCGTCGAACGGCCGGCAGTCGTTGACCGCCGCGGAGTTGGAGGGCGCCTGCGAGGGCGGCTGGGCAGGCGCCTCGGAGGCGACGCAGACGAATCTGCTGCTGCTGCACCACGAGGAGGCACTCACTTGCCACATGTGCCTCCTTTCGGTAGCGGGGGCTGACGGCGCCGCAGGGAAGGAGGAGAAGGATGAATGAGGATGAGAAGGATAAGGAGGAGTTAGAGTGAGCAGGAGGAGCAGGAGGAGGAGGAGGAGGAGGACCAGCGTAAACCCAAGGGTCACCAACGATGTTGGAATAAACACTCCCTCCAAGCTCCCCCTTCATAGGCCCCTACAACGGTTCACAGCCACTGAGGGAAATGCCTCGTTGGAAAACAACCGTTTGAAGACCCTGAAGCATGTCAAAACACTATTCTAGGGAATCCAACGCCACGGGTCAACCTGACTGTTGCGTCTTGGCGGTCCTGTATCGTGCAAAAACGCAATGTCTGGGACTTCAACACCGCGAATCAACGTAACTGTTGCACCCTCCTGATCTTGAATCCTTCCAAAACGTTTGTCTGGTACGCTGATCATGGGAACCCGTGAAGCGAGTGAAATTGTTTTAAACAATTGCGCGCGGCGCTAAGGCGAGAGCCACATTTTGAAAAGGAACTGCCCTCACTCCGTGAAGCTCTTGCAAGCTTTTAAAACAAATGTGCGCGGCGCTACGGCGAGAGCCACATTTTGAAAACCTTCCGCCCTACATCCGCGAAACTCATGCACATGTTTAAGACGAATGTGCGCGGTGCTCAGGCGAGAGCCACATTTCGAAAACGACCCGCCCTCCAGCCGTGAAATTGTTGCCACTTTTGACTCCTCAGGGTCATAAGTGGTGATGAAGTCTCAGACGAAACTCCCGGCCCTCCCTAAAACTGGCCTCGGGGTACGACAGGGGGAATTTTTACCTTACAGCGAAGACTGATAGGTTTCTAGTAGTGTCAAAAGAGAGCATCTTGACTCCCCAGGGGGGTCTGGGCGGGTGCCGGGGAGAACCCGCGGAAGTCGTTTTTAGCAAACAGTTACACACTTCGTGGTCTTCGAGTTCCCAAAATTCCGCTCCTGGGCATGATTTTGAATGCCCGGAGCCACCTGTAGGCCACTTCGTGGTCTTTGAATTCCCAGAACTCCATTCCTGGGCATGATTTTGAATGCTCGGAGCCAACTGTAGGCCACTTCGTGGTCTTCGAGTTCCCAGAATTCCATTCCTGGGCATGATTGTGAATGCCCGGAGCCAGCTGTAGGCCACTTCGTGCTCTGCGAGTTCCCAGAACTCCATTCCTGGGCATGATTTTGAATGCCCGGAGCCAACTGTAGGCCACTTCGTGGTGTTCGAGTTCCCAGAATTCCATTCCTGGGCATGATTTTGAACGCAGGGAGCCAACTGTAGGCCACTTCGTGGTCTTCGAGTTCCCAGAACTCTATTCCTGGGCATGATTTTGAATGCCCGGAGCCAGCTGTAGGCCACTTCGTGGTCTTCGAGTTCCCAGAATTCCATTCCTGGGCATGATTTTGAACGCAGGGAGCCAACTGTAGGCCACTTCGTGCTCTGCGAGTTCCCAGAACTCTATTCCTGGGCATGATTTTGAATGCCCGGAGCCAACTGTAGGCCACTTCGTGGTCTTCGAGTCCCCAGAACTCCATTCCCGGGCCACATTTTGAATGCTGAGGCAGGCTGAGGCTGAGGCTGATGCAGGCTGAGGCTGAGGCAGGCTGCGGCTGAGGCCGAGGCTGAAGGCAGACTGAGGCTGATGCTGAGGCAGGCTGAGGCTGAAGCTGAGGCAGACTGAGGCTGAGGCTGAGGCAGGCTGAGGCTGAGGCTGAGGCTGAGGCTGATGCAGGCTGAGGCTGAGGCCGAGGCTGAAGGCAGACTGAGGCTGAGGCTGAAGCAGGCAGGCTGAGGCTGAGGCTGAGGCAGGCTGAGGCTGAGGCTGAGGCAGGCTGATGCTGAGGCAGGCTGAGGCTGAGGCTGAGGCTGAGGCTGATGCAGGCTGAGGCTGAGGCAGGCTGAGGCTGAGGCCGAGGCTGAAGGCAGACTGAGGCTGAGGCTGAAGCAGCTGAGGCTGAGGCTGAGGCTGAGGCAGGCTGAGGCTGAGGCTGAGGCAGGCTGATGCTGAGGCAGGCTGAGGCTGAGGCTGAGGCTGATGCAGGCTGAGGCTGAGGCAGGCTGAGGCTGAGGCCGAGGCTGAAGGCAGACTGAGGCTGAGGCTGAAGCAGGCTGAGGCTGAGGCTGAGGCAGGCTGAGGCTGAGGCAGGCTGAGGCTGAGGCTGAGGCAGGCTGAGGCTGAGGCAGGCTGAGGCTGAGGCTGAGGCTGAGGCAGGCTGGCTGAGGCTGAGGCCGAGGCTGAGGCAGACTGAGGCTGAGGCTGAGGCAGGCTGAGGCTGAGGCTGAGGCTGAGGCATGAGGAGGCTGAGGCTGAGGCAGGCAGGCTGAGGCTGAGGCTGAGGAGGCAGGCTGAGGCTGAGGCTGAGGCTGATGCAGGCTGAGGCTGAGGCAGGCTGAGGCTGAGGCCGAGGCTGAAGGCAGACTGAGGCTGAGGCTGAAGCAGGCTGAGGCTGAGGCTGAGGCTGAGGCTGAGGCTGAGGCAGGCTGATGCTGAGGCAGGCTGAGGCTGAGGCTGAGGCTGAGCAGGCTGAGGCTGAGGCAGGCTGAGGCTGAGGCCGAGGCTGAAGGCAGACTGAGGCTGAGGCTGAAGCAGGCTGAGGCTGAGGCTGAGGCAGGCTGAGGCTGAGGCTGAGCAGGCTGATGTTGAGGCAGGCTGAGGCTGAGGCTGAGGCTGATGCAGGCTGAGGCAGGCTGAGGCTGAGGCCGAGGCTGAAGGCAGACTGAGGCTGAGGCTGAAGCAGGCTGAGGCTGATGCTGAGGCAGGCTGAGGCTGAGGCTGAGGCTGATGCAGGCTGAGGCTGAGGCCGAGGCTGAAGGCAGACTGAGGCGGAGGCTGAAGCAGGCCGAGGCTGAGGCTGAGGCAGGCTGAGGCTGAGGCTGAGGCAGGCTGAGGCTGAGGCTGGCTGAGGCTGAGGCTGAGGCTTATGCAGGCTGAGGCTGAGGCAGGCTGAGGCTGAGGCCGAGGCTGAAGGAAGACTGAGGAGGCTGAGGCTGACGCAGGCTGAGGCTGAGGCTGAGGCAGGCTGATGCTGAGGCAGGCTGAGGCTGAGGCTGAAGCAGGCTGAGGCTGAGGCCGAGGCTGAAGGCAGACTGAGGCTGAGGCTGAAGCAAGCTGAGGCTGAGGCTGAGGCCGAGGCTGAGGCTGAGGCTTAGGCAGAGGCCGAGGCTGAGGCTGAGGCTTAGGCAGGCTGATGCTGAGGCAGGCTGAGGCTGAGGCTGAGGCTGAGGCCGAGGCTGAAGGCAGACTGAGGCGGAGGCTGAAGCAGGCTGAGGCTGAGGCTGAGGCAGGCTGAGGCTGAGGCTGTGACTGCGACTGCCGTTGGCACTGCGACTGTCATCGCGAATGCGACTGCGATTGCGAGAACAGCAGAATTCTACAAGTGGATTCTCATCTGAATCTTAAGGGGAATGCTTCCAGATATGCTCCTACATATCGATGTTCGGTTGCTTTGCCGGGATAATTTATGACGGAAAAGGAAGGGAGAAGGATGATACATAACGGGGAGGAGGAGGAGGAGGAGGAGGAGGAGGAGGAGGAGGAGGAGGAGGAGGAGGAGGAGGGGGGGGGAGGAACAGGAGGAGGAGGAGGAGGAGGAGGAGGAGGAGGAGGAGGAGGAGGAGGAGGAGGAGGAGGAGGAGGGAGGAGGACGCCAGGCAGGAGTCGGGGAGGAGGGTTAGCATTGGGGTGCACAGCAATGCTGTACAGTATTCTCTGGGGGTCTGGTAAAATTCTGGAGGGGCTCCTCTGTCCTCCCTCCTCCCTCCTCCTGTGCATTTTTTTGAATAACTCCGGCGCCATTTTGGCTCAAGAGGGCCGTTCTGGCCCAGGCGGGCTTTCAGATTTTGAACTTTGAGCGGCAGTGCAGTCGACGCCTTCTGGCTCGGCACCGCACGCTCGATCATTCCGCGCTCTTCTCCAGCGTCGCGGCGCTCCAGAGTCACGCCGGGCTTTCAGATTGTGCACTTTACACGGCAGTACAGTCGGTGCCTTCTGGCTCGGCACCGCACACTCGATCATTCCGCGCTCTTCTCCAGCGTCGCGGCGCTCCAGGGTCACGGCGCAGAGTCGGGTGCGTCTCGGAACGGCGGTCAGTCTGTTTTTTGTTCCCCTTGGCCCGAGGGGCAGGACCAGGCACACCGCTGCCGGGCCCCCCTGGCCGGCGCACCCGGGACACGCTGCGTAACGGTGGAGCCGAGGGCTCCAGCTGTGGTCCTTGCCAAGGCGCAGCATGTCCGCACGTCGGATCCGAAGGGTGGAGTGGCCGTGATATCCCGCCCGCCCTCTGCGCTGGCCTGCTCTCAGAGGGCATCCCTTCCCCTCCTCCCCCCCCACCATCGTCCTCCGCATCACCCTCCTTCCCCTGCCTCATCCCATCTCCTCCAGTTGATGGACAATAGATTCGGACCCTTACACGTTCGAGGGAGATTCAAAATCACCCCCGCACCCCCGACATCGATGTTGATCTCAGTAAAGGCGGTGCTTTGGGCTTGGAAGATTTCTGTCCATTCACGCCCCCCCCCCGTCGCCACGCCATCAATATTAGTTTCAGGGGGGTCTGGGGGGCGTCCTGGGCCACAGGGTCGGAATACCACGGCCACGCACGGTCCCTCTCCCCGCTCCCCTCCCGATTCTGCGCGGGGCGCCGGCGTGCAGGCCGCAGGCGAAGGAGCAGGCCCGCAGCCCTCTCGCGGGGGGCCCGCTTCGGGCCCGCGGCATGCCATGGCGAAGGCATCTATACACCACCACGGTGTCAGGACAGGGCCATCCTGGGCCCCAGGATAGTGTATAGACCCTCCTGGCCTCGGCCAGGATGGCGATTACGCCATCCCAGGGCCCAGGATGGCCCTGGCCTGGCACGGTGGTGGTGTATAGATGCTTTCTGCGTATGCCGGAGCACGGCTCGGGACAGCGGCCTGGCCCCGGGGGGAAGGGGCGGATGGGCACGGGCCCGCACGCCGCGGGCAGGCCGTGG